GCTGGTTATCTCATTGAGGCATACAACTTGATAAAGAGTATGCAAGTGAGGCGTGATTTTATACCATGGGGTTCTCTTCTCGCAGCTTGTATAATTCACAAGAATGTGGAGCTTGCTGAGATTTCTGCAAGGGGATTGTTTAAACTAGATCCAGGTAATTGTGGGTTGTATGTCTTACTTGCTAGCATATATGCAGATGCTGGAAGATGGAAAGATGTTGAGAGGGGATGAGAATACTTATAAAAGATCAGGGACTGGTTAAAATGCCAGGATTCTGTTTGGGTGAACTCGAAGGTAGGGTACTTGTATTCTTGGTTGGAGATTGCACCCTCAACATGAGAAGATCTACAAGTATTTGGCGGAACTCACTGTGAAGCTGCAAGAAACTATGTTCCAATTATGGCATCGGTTCTTCATGATGTTGATGAAGAGGAGAAGGAAATGGTTGTGCAAATTCACAGTGAGAAATTGGCTGTTGCTTTTGGAGTCATGAACTCAGTTCCTGGTTCAACTATTCATGTTATCAGGAATCTTCGGGTTTGTGGTGACTGCCATTCTTTTATTAAGTTGATTTCCAAAACTGTTAGTAGAGAAATTGTAGTGAGAGATGCAAAGAGATTTCATCACTTCAAGGACGGTTTGTGTTCATGTGGAGATTATTGGCAACAAATCTGTACACGAGAAGAACAAGGCTATGGCACTGATGAAAGAGAATGCTCCAACAATGAATTCTTTGACGATTCAAGTCTGTAAGTTGGAACTGCAATCACCTCTAATTGCTCAATCAAAAAGGCAGCCAAGTAGGTAGCTGATAGTTTATCTCCCAACTAACAGATTTGATAGAACTTCCAAGAAAAGAAAAAAAATATATAGTTCTAGGTTGGTGAGGCCAAGTGCATATTTTGATGCGGTTGATGTTGAAATTACTGAAAGGACGTTTTATTTATATAGAGACAGACATGCAGACTAGAACCTTCAGGCAGAGAATCATGAGACAAGGAAGCAGGCTGTTTTAGCACACGGGCTACCCTTTGAACAAGAACATATCATGAATTACAAGGAGCACGACAAGTAATTGGGAAGAGTTTGCTCTTGTAACCTGTCCAGGATGTGTATTTATAGCTTTGATGTTCAGAAAGGGAGTCGCATGAACTATGTGATAAGATACTTGCTTAACCAGAAAATGAGCCAATGTCAAATCATGTACAACCTCCTACAAAAAACTTACCTGAAAGTAGTCCTTTAGTTCTCTTGTCTTAAATAGTTGGTGCAGCTCTGGAGGGACCTGTTTTGAACCTTCAAAATGTTTCACCTCTAGCCAGAGCTTCTCAATCACCAGTCTCTTTTCGATGTTTCTCCTTGCTAGCTCAGCCTGCTCCTGCCGATTTTCCTCCTTAAGGCTTGTGATCTGAAACTTGAGTTCATACCATATATTCTCCCACTCATAAATTCCACCATGTGAGAAGTATGATTGTCACACTCATGAATTGACTCATAAAATTATATGATTTTATAAGTCAATATAGATATATATTGTGAAATTAGATAGAAAATTTAAAAATCAGCAAACTTGATTAAACTTAGTTAAACTCGGAACGAGTTTGATAAAATTAACAAAAACTATTGACGTTTCTTAATCCTCTCCTCTCCATCCTGTTTATCTCACAAAAATTCCCCTTTTCTCTTTTCCCTTTCCTTAAATCTCACATTCTCTTATTCTCAAATCTCAACCCTAAAAGAAGCATACTAACACTAGCATGTAGCAACGCCTTCCACTTTAAGTTGTGCTGCAATTTGTATCTGCAAAGCTTCAAGCCATAAAGTGAAACTAAAATAGTAGTATTGTAAGAAAGCAACTGCTTAAAATCTAATAGTAAGCAAAACATTAAGGAGATTAAAGAATGCCACTGGAAATCCTCTCCGTGTGCGACCTTTCAATTTTTTTCCGTCAACAAAACCTAAAATAAGAACCATAGAAAAGCCCACAAGCATGTCCTCATTTTTCTAGCCCTTAACCCAATATTTCGACTAAAAACCAAAGTGGGGTTTTAAGGTGAGTGCAAAATGAAAAGTAAAAGGCAATATTTATGAAGAGTATGTAGTTATGTCATATTGAGGAGTCGTTGAGGAGTTTACTTAGAGCGTGGGTTATGGGTCTACATACAAAAAAAGAAAGGGGTTGTTTTTCCTGGTAGAGATTGAAAGGAAAAGAAATAGAGAAGAATTTGCTTGAAGAAATAGAGAAAGACAATATTTTTAACATGAAAATGTATTTAATAACATGTACAAATCTTAATATATGTGTGGGTTAAGCGAAAGCTTTGTTTGCTTTGCTAGTTTGATGACAAGTTCATGAGTGTTTAACTTGCAAGTGGACTCAATATTGTTGTTTTAATATTGCTTGCTTTTTTTTTTTTTTCCCAACACCAATACAAAATACCTTGTTAGAATTAATACAACACCACATAGATAAATCCCCAGGACCAAGTAATATTGGTGTTGGTATTAATAATAACATTAATATTCATAATATTAGTATTGGTAATAATAGTAATACTAATAATTCTCTTAATGATGCTAATATTGATGAATGTCTAAGAAACAATGAGGAAAATAAAAGCAATGATGCAAGTTTTAATTTACATGACACTTTAGCAGATTGTTTGTTTTAAGTTTATTAAAACACTTTAGCAGATTGTTTGTTTTAAGTTTGTTAAATGTTAGTTAATGAAAAATGACTTAAATTATGTTTGAATGTTTTTTTTGAACCATGTATTTTAAAGTGCTTGAACTATATATAAATTTTTATTTGAATCATGTATTTTAAGGTACTTGAACTATCCATAAATTTTTATTTGAATCATGTATTTTAAAGGTACTTGAATTATCTATGAGACAAAAATTTTCTTATGATTTTATGATATGTTTTTACAATTCAAGTTTATTTTGTATTTTTCCTATTGTGTTAAAAAAAGGTTTCTGACAACTTCCCATTATCATTCATATTTGTTCTGTGTTATTTTCTACTTGGCAAAAATACGTGGCTTTCTTATCCTTTTGATTTTGTCCAATTTCAGTTTTTGTTTTTAATTTCATCTTTCTTCAATGAACATCATTTTATTTAGTATCTTGTTCAGGCATTCTATGTCAAAGTTAGTGTTGTCAAAATGGATTTTAGGATCTTTAACAATATATTCAGGTTCGGAATCTAAAACCTCTAAGCTAGAACTATTAGAGCTTTATATTAGTGTATCCTTGTTACTGTCGAGTGTAGAATATAAAGTTAGAGGCCCTGAATCGTTCAAATGATGGAATTGAGACCTCAACCCTTGCATATTTTTTCAGCTAAACAGCGGTAAGATCTGTTGAACCCTTCTGGCATTCCAACAAGCTTTAGCAGCCTTTTGTAATGACTCAAACTCTATTTGAAGGATCACCATCTTCTTCCAAAAGGTCATCATGGCTTTCGTTCTCTTGTTCATGTCTGCAATAATGGGAAAAACACACCAAGTTTCTTAAAAAACCCTTCCACGATAAGGAGCGGTTTTTCTTCTCTTCTTTTTCAATAGAAAGTAAATAGCGGGGAATGTTAAAGAATATCTTTTTCGTTGTTCTGATATCAGCTGTTCTAGTTAAAACTCCAAACCACATGGCCATGGAATGTTCAGTAGTATTTGAGCTCATCAGTTTGAGACACAGACGAAGCCTTGTTAAAGGCTAAGGAGGGTTGTAGTCCAGGTTAAAAAAAATTAATGACCCATTTTTGTTTTTAATTTTTACACAGCATACTAGCCCACTTTCCCTGTTTTTTACACAACAAACCTAATGTCTTACTTTTTCTTGCAATACAAATTAATTACTAGTTATCAGCTGCCACTTTACTTTCCCTAGCAATACTAATTAATTAGCCAACCACCTTTTCTTGCAATACTAATTAATTAGTTATATTTTACAACAAATTTATTTAAATATAAATAATTAATTGATTCATATGTCTTCTAAACAACTTGGAATTTTAGCTATTTTTCTTCTCAACAATATATAATTTTAGCTTGGATTTTAAAGAAGAATCTATACATAGAGCCGCAAAAGTGTAAAATTATCAGGTAAAAATTTACAAGCAATGACTTTTCATTTTGAATTCAATGTTTCACATTCATTACAGTAGATTGTTAATAGAGTAAATAATAACTGCACCTTAGAAATTGATGCATGCTAACATACTAGTAGTCTAGTACTAATAATTTACTGGTTATTTCAAAGTTAAGTTCTCCAAATCTTCCAATAGTTTTTGCAGCACTAGTTTATCCTTGTATATCTTGCATTTTATGAATATGCTATTTTGGCATTAGTATCTTTTCATTTTGCACCTGACTTCCCTAATCCTTTTTACTTGAATAAGTTATAAATTATAATGGAAAATCAAGAAAACAAGAGAGGAAAAACTATGTTTTCATTTTTTAAACCAAACGAACAAACATCAAGTAGTAAATGACATTCTCCTTCTAATGTTGATGTGTCAAATTGTAGTGAACAAATCCCCTTTCAAATCTCAAAGAGTTGAAATTGATGTTAATACTTTTGAACGAGATCCTGAGTTACGAATTCCAGTGTGGAAACATCCTATTAATCAACAAGATGAAATTAGAAGCGCTTATATCAAAATGGGCCCATATCAACCTAAGTTAGCAAAGTATCTAAGGACTGAATCAGGGAGACAGTATTGTCGATTTCAATACACTTGGTGTGATCAATTTTCTTGGCTAGAGTACTCTCTATCAAAGGATGTAATATTTTGTTTTCCATGCTTTATCTTTGAAAACAAAGTGCCTCCATCTCACATTCACCACCGAAGGTTTTAGAAGTTGGAAGAAGGTTAATAAAAGTAAGTAGACATATTGATAAAATGTTGAATGCACAAACTATTGAAGAAGTTTAGAAAAATTGGTTGAGATTTATAACAACAATTGAAAGAAAACAAAAACCCCCAGGGAGAGGGTTGTTGAGAAAAATCCAATAAAACCAGAATCGATCGATCCCCGCAACATTTCATGCAGCGCATTTGGTTGGCAGAGAGAGGCAGGCAGGGAACCCCCCAAAATCATCTCTCTGCTGCTCCTCTCTTCTTCGCTTCTCTCTCTCTATTGCAGCAGGGGAAAAAAGAAGAAGAAAAGGTTCCCTTATTTCTCTCTAGAAATGGATTCTCTTAGACAACAGTCACTAATCCCTAGCTTCCTCTACTCCTCTTCTTCCTCTGCTAAAACTTTCTCCCTCTCTAACCTCCACTCCGAACAACCATCACTTTCTCCGCCGCTGTCATCAACGGTCACTATGGGAAGCAAGAGCAGTGGCGGATTTGTGATCCCGGCACCGAGTGAGCCTGGGAAAAAGATCGAGATGTACTCGCCTACTTTCTATGCTGCTTGCACCGCTGGTGGTATCCTTAGCTGTGGACTTACTCATATGACTGTTACTCCTCTCGACCTTGTCAAGTGCAATATGCAGGTACATTTTTTACTCTTTTCTGTAGTTTTTAATTTAGATTTGTGTTGTTGTTGTTGATTTTGATCACCAGTACTGCTATTGAATCTTGTTATTGTAAATTTTTCATTATTGTAAGCTTGTTGTTCTTGAAATAAAAGAGTGTGTTTTATCCC